ATTCTATAAACATGCCCCACCTTATTCCCATTGACATCAGTGGCAAGTTTTCCAAAAGTTTCAACTTCAATTGAAACTCAAGAACAAAACGTTCAGGGCCTCAGTTTTAGAGAGATTCCTGCTTCACCTTTTATTTTACAATTTCAAATAACTATAAAGATAAACAGGATCATTTAAACATTTCCTTAATTTGTGAATGAAACTGGAGAACAAGTTTACTAAATGATTTAAAGTATATTTGCCAATATACAAATAAAGTATATGTGCCAAATAGAAGCAGGAAGTTGCCTTGGAGAATATGAACTAAAGATGTGTTCAGGCTCAACCATCAAGTTACTAAGAGACTCCACTGTCAGTCCACATGCAAAAACTCAGTCAAATTTTTGAGTGGGCTACATATTTTGCATATAAATGAGGACACAGGGCAGAGATGCTTAAACCAGTGATGTGCTTGCTAGCTGAAGTGCATCACGCCTAAGCAACAGCACACAAATGATCTCAGGCAAGCCTGAGCTCAGAATTAACATAGTTCAGAATTAACATAGCTCTTCCTCTGAGATAGGGAACTTCACTAGGTTCAAGGTATCATTACTACATTATTACAATGCACCAGGGGCAACTCTACACTGAAGAGCCAGTTCAGAGACTTCTTAGCTCAGGATCAGCTAAGAATAAATGAAATCAATTGAGGATTGAAAGTTTAGCTTTAAAAGCGGTAGTGTTACCCACAGTTTGCTTTGCTCTAGATTATCCTGGTCCCTCATTATCATGGCTGAAGTGTATTTCTAAAATAACAGATTTATGTATATTAAAAAATTCTCATTGATGACTTGATGTAAGGGGTAAAAAAATGCTTTGATAGCTGGTTTCAGGATTCTGTGGTTAATGGGTTGTTCTCAGCCTGGATGCTTGTAACAAGTAGAGTACTACACAGGTCTGTGCTGGGACCTGTTCTGTTTTACATCTATTGGTGATCTCGAGACAGCAATGAAATGTGTTCTCACCAAGTTCTCACGTGACACCAAACTGGGTAGGCCAGTCAAATATACCCAAGACCAAGGCCACCAGCCAAAGGGACCTAGATGGGCTAGAGGATTGGGCTGATACAAAATTATGAAATTCAAAAAGAACAAACAAACGTCTGGAAGTTGTGAAGGAAAAATGCCAGGCAGGTTTTTTCATACAGGCATTGAGAATACTGCATTGAGAGTACTCCACCCACTTTTGGGCCTCTCAGTATGGGAAAGATACTGATAAACCAGAGTGAGTTCGCTGAAGGCCACCAAGATTGTCAGGATGCTGGAGCAGAGGCTGGGTTGCAGACATGCTGAGGGAAGAGGGCTTGTTCAGCTTGGCTCTGGGAAGAGCTGGTGGCAGCTTTTCAACACCTGGAAGGAGGTGCTGACACCAAGGAGGGGTTCAACACCAAGAAGATGAAGCCAGGCTCTTCTCAGCACTGCATGGCCAAAGGATGAGACACAAAATGACAAATTGTAACAAGAAAGGCTGCAACTTGAAAAGAGAATAAACTTTTTCACCGGCCAAACTTTGTACCAGGTTGTCCAAAGAGGTTACAAATGCTTCAGCCTTGGCAGTATTCATGGTTACTCATGGTTACACGGGGAGCAGAGTAGGAGCAATTGCAGTGATGCTTTTTAAATGTGATGCTTGGCTTGGAAATCTTTGTGCTGGCACAGCAGACTGAGTGAAGCTGCTTTGCAAATACCTGAAGAATGTCCGAAACTTCCTAAGAGACTTCTCTGACCACTGTTGGAGGATCCATTTTCATCCTTCAATACGATTTTTACAATTTTTACAATAAGATCCGTGTATACACTTAAAGGGAATATTTTGGATATATGCCCTTGTATTTCTACAGCACTACTTAAAAAGAAAACAATTCAAACAACTCTAATATCAGGATAGAGAGAAATTGTTAGGGTAATTCCTCAAGTATCTGTCTTGGGACATATTTCATCATTTCCCTTGTGACCTTGGCAGAGAAACAAGGTCTGTGACAAGCTGTTAGTACAAAGAAAGACTGTATTCCACACCAAAGGACAGCACACAACTCTGCAATAAGAAACAGAATGAAATTACATAAAGTGCATGGTCACACACATAGGAGTAAGAATTCCTGTGACAAGCTGGAAATTACAAATGAGAAAGAAGAGGGTGTTCTAGTGCATCAGAGGATGACTATGAGCAATCACTATGATGTGGCACACATAACACTAAGATATTTTGTGTGAGATGTCAGGAAAGACAAGAGAAGTATTAATGTCAGGATACAAAGTGCTAACCAGAATGAAATATATTACATGCAAGATCCTGTCACTCACAGTCAAGAAAAATTAAATCACAATAGAGCAATTACAGAGAACTTCTGTTTGACACTAATAAAAATAAGATAAATGCTAAAGATGTAGAGAAAACAAGTCATATGAAAGAAAATTCTGATCTATTAATAAACTGACAAAATTCACTACTTTGAATATTTCCTTTACAATACCCTTTACTTGTAAATAATTACAAATTAAAATGACCAGCATTATGCACTACTTTGTTTCTCTAGACATCAGTTTTGGCAGATTTTTCTTCTACATGTCTCTTTTTTGTCTCCATCTTCTGTTCCAGGACTATGGATAGCAACAAGTTTGAAATTCATTTCAAAATGGATCCTCACAATGACAGAAAAACTTATATTTTTCCCTAAGAGTTACAGGAAATTTCAGCAGGAATATCAATTATCAAAAAGAAATAAATGGCAGTGTTTTCTTCAAGTCTGTGCAACTATGAATTTGTACTGCTGGAGTCAAGAATCTTATTGTCATTCTTCAGGCAAGATCACTAAAAATCCCATCATTTCCCCCACTAACATCACAGGCTTTGTTTTCAAGACTGGCAGTAAATGTACAGTATTCTTCACCTCAGACAATGTTAAGCATTACATGGCAGTTTGTCTGTTCAATTAATCCTCGTGGCTCTCCTTGCAAGTAGTTTAGAGACCTGCCTAAGACCATGAAAGTAAATCAACTAGGATAAGAACAGAGCAACTTCCATCTCTCAGGTTGTTGTCCATTAGACCATGCTCCTCTTCTAAGAAGGGATCCTGGCAAATTCCAGACTTTATGGGAAAGAGGTTCTATTTAAACATTTAAAACTTTAAAGCACTTACTGGAATGAAAAAAAAAAAAAAGGAAATAGAAAAGATGAGAAATCCAAGTTAATCCAAGAAATGCGATAGCAATTGATCACAGTGCAGTCTGGAAGGAAAATGTAATCAATATAGAGGGGAAGAAATCAAATCAAACAGATACTGCTTCAGTGACTGAAGCAAAGATCCTCAAATTGCAGCTAGGGGTGACTTTTTTGTTCTTATCCCTACTGTATGATGAAAACTAGAAAGCTCAAATATTTAGAAGTGTCATCTAATGACAATATATATCTTTCTTATTACTGTAGCAAAATAAAAAGTAGCAAAATAAAAGTCTGAAATTGCTCTTAGATTTTCTATTCAGTGCTTTAGAAGTGGCTTACTCACCAAACACTGCTTACTCACTGCAAGGGAGCATTTTGGTGCAGCTGTGCTCCTGGAAATTGATGCTAGCATGAAAATTTGCTCTGCTTTTAATATCTTTTTCTAGTATTGATATTTTGATGACAATTGGATATTTTTGGTGACAACTTCAATTTGTTCCAGGTAACAGGAATGTAACATTGTTAATGAAAATAATGCTAACATTTAAGAGGTTTATGTTGTTACCGACCTAGAAAGAAAGTACCACGCAGGCAAGTATCCTAAATACTAAGCAAATACTATTTTCATCTAGGAAATAAATGATCACGATTTTTTAGAATATTATTTTGTACCTAAGAAGTAACTGGAGCAAGGTCAGTAGGGTCCTATATATACCTAGAGAACAGCAATACTATTTTGCTGTGAAAATCAGAATATTTCATTAGACAATTCGAACTTGAGTTTGAGGCACTTTTTTTAGGGTTGTTTTGGTTTTTTTAAAAGAAAAGTAGGGATTTCCCACTTTGCATCTTGGAACACTGAAGTCTCATAATCAAGAGCTCAAAAGTCAAACTCCATTATCCGTATTTTACAGTATTTTATTCCATGTGTAGCTACAGTAACTGCAAACACTTTCACACAGCACAGTATTACTTAGATAAAAGCAAGAATGCAAAATGTTTTAGGGACAAGTTCAGAAGAAAAGATTGCTTTTGAATTTACTCATTCTGCTCCCTAATCCTAAAATTGTTCAGTCCCTCATAGGATTATCTCTGGGGGAAATACTTGAACACATACTTTCCTGTGTCCTATACTTGCTTTCTGGAATTAATATAGCTGGTATAATTTTTTTTAAAAGACTCATTAGGTTACATCAGCAAATTATCTGGTCCTGAAGGAGAAATGACGGTCCAATTTCTTTTCTTTTCTCCTCAGATGGGTCAATATGACATAGGTGGGTACGTGACCCCCTGCTTTTCACGCACAAGTGAGTCACGCCATGGATTAAGAACACACACACATTAATGTACATCTGATCTTTAAACCCAAAGATCAAATCAAACTCTCTTTTTTTCTTTCAGATACTATTAATTCTGAGAATATGAGACTTTTTGCCTTCCAACTTATGTTTCATTGAGTTTTAATTCTAATTTATTTTTAATATAAGGATTCCCTTATTTGAGTTTTCTTGAGTTGCATTTTTATAAAATAAGTTAACATTTTCCCTCAGAATTTAAGCTCTTCTTTCTTCCCAAGGCTTAGATGACACCATAAAATGAATACTGTTCCTTTAAAGCTGACACAGTAAGAATGAGCAGGCTGTCTTAGATAGCAGGCCATTTCATTTCTCATAAGCATGCTATCATTAGCTACCTTTAAGAGAATGAATGGTATTGATTGGTTCAAATCAAACTTGTGACCTGGTGGCAGTATTAGATGTTTGTTACAAAGCATCATCTCCTCATTAATCTTTCATTAGACAGCATGATCCGAGAAGCCAGCAGCAGTCACACCACGCTTACTCTCTCGAGTGATGCCACCACAGAGCGCTCCCTTATTGGATCACAGCAATTACTGGCCTTACAACGCAGATTCGGAAAGCCTTATCGAATTTCCTCCTGGAGATGGCAGGCTTACAAAGAGTCATGTGCTGTTTCTTGGCTGAGGACATCACCAAATTACAACAAAATGCAGTAAACTCTAGTCATTTGCAATTAATCATGTGACTCTCATTTCTGAGATGATACATCTTCATTTACAGCATATGAAGTATTTTACAGAAAGCCCAGATACGTAAAATTAAGGTGTCTTAAAAAGTTCCAGTCAAAGAACAGGTAACTGCTAAATCCCATTTCTGGCCGGGAGAAATGAAGCAGAATCTCTGGTATCTGGATTGCTGGCATCTCAGTGCTGTGATTTAAAGGAACTGGGAAACAACTGCAGGCAAACAGCAGGCAGTATGAGAAAGAAGCATCTGTTCCCAAGGACATAAACACCACTGGAACAGAGCCCAAGAGGGGGAGATTGGTTCTTATTTTCAGCTCAACAGCACATCACAACAAGGCCTGGGGGTGTGTGGGGGGAACTGGTAATTGTGCAACTCTAACAATACATGATTATTCACATGCAAACATTAAAAAGGTTAAAATTTTAGTGCCTCTGAGTGAATAAGAGCCCTTCAATACTGCAACTGACCTACACTTCCAGGGATCCTATACTTCCTCAGGCTTACAAGTACAAGGATTGTATCACCAAGCTATTTTTTGCAGCCATATAAAAGTAGCATTGCAATCTGAACACAAGACACCCCATTAACCTCTGCAACCACTCAAATAAAAAGGCCTAGCAAAGGGCAAAATAACACTCTATTAGAAGAGAACTTAAAAATGCATACTACAGAAGTGTTCTTACTCATGCAGTTTAAAAATTATTCTGGCTAAATCACAAAGTTTTGTTCAGGGGCATGGAAAAGTGACATGCACAGTGCACACAGACTTAATGCAACCACTTCACTATTGCCTCAGGCAAGGTGGAGTGTAGTACCACAATGTTACACCTCCTAGAAACATCATCCATGGCCACTCCCTCAGCAAGCCCGAGAGTTATTCACCATGACTGAGAAAGGACAGGCAACCCACCTAGACTATCAAAATTAAGACTAACTTAATTTTTAAGACACTTCTAAGACAGGTAGATTTAGGTAAAATACAGGACAGGTAGGTGTGGCTAATGCTGTAAGTTGTGGGTTCATCTCATTAAGGGCAGCACAAAATGTCAGTGTGACGCTTAATACACAAACTCCAGTGGTTCAGGGTTTTTACTCTTAAAAGGTAATTTGAGCTTTTGGAAACTGAAATGCCTCCTTTTTTATTATGCTGTTGGCTTGGGCACTTAGTTAAGTATTTATCTCCTCTTGTGTTCAATGAGAGCAGGGAACAGCTATCATTGTTCTGTCAAGTTCCTCTACCCAAGCACACATATTTGGAGAAGCAAAATGACACTACCCTAATTCATGTGACATATGCCTTAATATCTTGCATGATAAAAATCAGTCCCTTGTCTCTTATGCCCGGGTTGTGATAACAGCAAACACTGACAACATGAACTGACACGGCTGTAAGAGGCAGATTCACTGTATAGGTCTGGACCTGGTATTTATTACAAAAAACACCCTTCAAGTTTCTCATTAACCTCAAAATACTTTGCCATGTCATGGTTCCTCAGTGAGGAGCATGAACCTTGGGAAGATTTGAACTGTAAGGGGCTGTTTTTGCTCACACACTCCTGCTCTCTGTAGCTACCTGCCAAATTTTGGGTAAGATACCAGCATTCTGAAAAAAAAAAAAACAAACAAAAAACAAAACATAAGCTCTGCTGAAAAATTATTCAAATGCAAACATTCCATTCTGTTGCAAAAACTGTGACTGTTAAGAAAGGAAGAAAATATATGAGCACTTTCAAGAGAAAATGAAATAGAACAAGGTATGTTTATATATCTTTTGTTGAACATAACATGTATTCATTTTAAAAAAATACTGACAATTATATTCAGTAGAAAACAATGCATCTTTCATAGTGTTCCAGTGCATTTACATTACAGATTTAAACATTTTAGCAACAACAGTTGATTACAACAAATACACTCCAAATTCTAAAAACAAAAGAGTTGTCAACCCTCAGGCAAGATTGTAAACCAACAGACAGAGACTTCTTGGATGACAGCCCTATGTCTTGACAAAACGCAGTAATAATAACATTAATAAGCCTAAACCCCTAATTAATATTCAAACACATGAGTATGAAAAATTTTAACCAGTGCAACTATATTAGCGATCAGCCAGAGATTACTTCAGCTGTAACTGAAAGGTAAGTGTCCACAGGGCAAATGGTAAAAGCTGTGTTACACAACTGTTTTGGTTGGGGAATATATTCCAACTGAAACTGCAGAAATAATTTAGGCAGCTATATAAACATAATTTAAGGATACAGAGGTTAACAACCTTGAAAAGAATCTTTACTGAACCACAAATGGCTGCTTTCCAAGACACCTCTGTATTACAGCTTCCCCCTGCACCTTCCTTAAAGAGTGATTCTCAAATACTGCATTTTTAATACCAATTCCTAAAACACAAAGTGTCCGTGAATGTTTCTTGTCCAAGTTTTTTATTGAAGCTAATCAACCCTGACTCAACAAAATGTAATAAAAATCAGAGCACAGTGATAAATGATAGTCATATCACTCAATCATACACACCAGGAACCTATTTTTAGCATGAGGCTGATGCATTGTTATTTGTTCTTTTTAACTCCTGGAAACACACCCATTAGGGAATCACTGTACTGTTAACTTACTTTAACTTTTTCATGAATAGTCTGTGTATTACTACCATTCTGTGAAATGTTGAAACAGGAAGGAACTATATAATGCTCTGACTTTTAAGCCCTGTATAATTAATAAGTCATCCTTAAGAAGCAGAAAACGTATGAAAGACAAATGGGTTACATTCTAGAAGGACCAAGAAAGGCATAATTTCATTTTCCAATTTACCAAGCCTCACAATTCCTTGCTCAAATTGCTGGAGACTGATAAACTGTAGGTGTCATCATGATCATACAAGCTTACTACAATCAAGGCAGGGACAGCTTACATTTTTCAACAATGCTATTCATTTAACCTAAAAACTCAGAACTGGATTATTTCCAGCAGTAAAGCATAATGTGACATATGAAACATGTCTGACATAACTGACTTAAAAGTAAACCAGTCCACACAAAGCCACTTGTGCTAGCAGAAAGGACTGGAACCAGCAGGATGCTGCTTCACAAGGACAAAGCCCTGCAATTTTTGACTAAACTTCAAGTAGCTAGATGGATTTCTTAGTGCCTTCCTGATCCAAACAGTTTGTCTAATGGCAGTAGTTCCTTCCACAGTACAGTGGCAAAATGAAACCCTGCATAGTAAGTTGTCTCCAAGTGTCTCCCTGCAAGATGTTACAAGACATCATATGTGGAATATCTTTCAGTCTGGGACACGTGAAGCAGTGAATGTTGATCTTCAGACCCAGAAGCTTCCTGTGCAAGGAGGCCTTGAAAATAAAGATATAATAGCTGCATTTTTGTAAATGAAATAAATGTGTATCTCCACACTTCCCTCAGGCTCTTGCTTGCTTGGCTGGAAAACAGAATTTAAATGAAGCAGCTCATCTGCTTCTCCACAAGACAACAAGAATTCTTTTCATTCTAAGAAAACATTTTACATTTGAAAAATCATGTTTTCTGTCAACAAAAAGAAATCATACCAGAATTCTCATTTCATCAATTCCATCCATTTCAACAACTATTACTTTGCTTGCCTTTCGTTAGTGCTTACCCTTAAACCACAAGTCCCTACTTTTCTGTTTTATGTGAGGGCTTCTGACGTTCTTTGCTTGACCACCTAGAAATGTTCCAGGAGGCTAAGATACATGAAATAAAATCAGATAAACTGAACAGAAACTAGATTTTCCATGCATAAACACAATCAGTTGAAAATTTCAAAGTTATATTCAGGGTATTCCTTGAAATCTTGGAATAAATGATATGGCTTTATTAGAAATTAAGACACTGTAGCCAGAAATGTTAATGTCTTGAGTGTTAGACCATACTTTGCTCATCCAGTATCACTGATATCATTCTGTTGAATTAATAAATACAGCTGAATACATTTTCTGAATTTTGTCAGAGGCCTGGCAGCAAGTTCATTGCAAAAAGGAAATCTTTTGGAAAGCCTGTGTAATGGTATCCTTCCTCATATATACTCAGGGTAGAAAACAAAAAGTGTGATAAAAAAGCCACTGGATGTGGGCATAGAGGAAGACCTGTATCTATGCTTATATAAGGTGACAGATCCTCGCACAAAGGAGACTGTAATTTGTTTCTCATTTGATAGAATGAATTTAATCTCACAACTGTAATATAAAACCTCAACAAGTATTCTAACAAAAGTCATGTACTCAATTCTATGCAGAATTCTTATTTACAAACTTTGATCCTGCCTTCTTCATATATTTCAGAGAAGAACCCTTGTTTCCAGGGTTTTTTTAGAAAATTCTAAACTCTCAAAGGCTGAAACCAGAAATAAAACAGGGAGGGAAAATTAACTTGTCTGAGAGAACGATCATTAACTCGCAGTTCTAAGCTTAATACAGAAACTGAGTTCCTAAAATTATCCAGCCTGGTCACTGGCTTTCTAAATCTTATAGAGGTGATGCAATACTTAAGTGTTGTAAAGGATTAAATTGTTAAGCACTGACAGAGCAGAGAATTTAAGCAAATAAGCCTGATGAAGTAAGCAACTAAATATGAGATGTGACTTCCATGAAGAAAGTCATACTATGAGAAGCTTAGCACAGGTTTCTACAGCTAACTTTCAAACATATAGGATTACAGGAGGAGGAGTAACCCAGATAAGGCAAAAATACATTTAAACAATTTTTAAATTAGGTACAGCAGATTATAAAAACCTATTTTTTACACTGACCTATGAAAACTTGAAAACATTCCTGTCAAGAGCAGTAGCAACTTTAAATGATATCAACACAGTAAGGCTCAGTTTGAAATACCCACATTTGTGCTGAAGTCAGAATAACTGAGGATAATGAGACCTGGTCAATTCACAGACAGAATGTTTTTCCATACACAACTCAGAGTTGAACAGAGG